AGGGAAAGCTCCTGGCCAAAAGCTCACGCCAGAAGCCCTCCCACCCGCGTGGGAATCGGTTGTTACACAGCTCAAGCTCCACGGTGCCCGAAAGTTTCAGATTTTTCCTCATCAGCGCCGAGAGGTTTGGGCTGAGTTTGTCCACCTGGCCCAGCGGAGAGAGCCCCGCACGGCCGGAGACAGAGGAGCAGAAAATCGCCAGGCTGGAAGCGGCGAAAGCTGGATGGAAAAACACCCAGGCGGAAGAGAGGGCTGCAAAACCAGTTATCTCCTGGTGGAACAGAGCCAGGGAGATAAAAAGCAAGGGGCAGGGGGAACCGCGAGGGCAAGGAACAGGCTGACAAGCCCCGGATGCTGTCGCGCCGTCTAGAAAACGGCTTTTTGCCGGAAAACGCACGCGAGGGACGCAAAAAACCGCAATTCTTTCAAAGTCCTGTCGAGTCTTACGCTGCAAGCAAGCCGACGGAAGAGGAGGGAAGCCTTCCTCTTCGCGCCAGAGGGAAGCAGGAAAATAAAAGCCGCTTCCTTTAGGCAGAGAGAGAAACATCACCGCATCGCCCGGCTCAGCACGAGCCACGCCGTCCCGGCCGCAGGCTGGGAGGCCCTCGTCATTGAGCCAGACACTCGGCGCCAGGCCCGCAGCCCGGGCTGGGAAGCTACCGTCCCGGCGCCTGCACCGCGCTCCCGGCGGCAGGCGGGGAGGCCCTCGTCATTGAGCCAGACACTCGGCGCCAGGCCCGCAGCCCGGGCTGGGAAGCTACCGTCCCGGCGCCTGCACCGCGCTGCTACGGTAGAACCCTTTATATTCCCAGCTTTATACCCAAACAACATAAAGTGGGGTTTGTTTTTGTTTTTTCCAAAGTGTTTTTGGCAGCTTCTCTCTCTCCACGCAGCCGCGACACCGCTCTGTTTCGCCGGGCGAAATGAAGGAAGCCCTCGGTGTTCTTCAGATCCCAGATTTTGCGGGAGGAGCACGCGACGGTTGCACTTACGGTCACGACAGACCTTCAAAAAAGAAGCTGCCAGCTCTGCCCGAGGCCCGAGACGCCACCAACGCAGAGAAACTTCCAAACCTAGCAGGTGCTTCCAACGCTAAGGCTGCTCTTCTCTGAGCCAGCAGCGTCCTCCGCGCTCAATACCTTTCAGTCCCGAAACGGGGACGAAACGACGAGGGCTTGGCTCCAGCAGACAAACCTGCTTCTTGGTTTCCTCTTGGTCCACGCCAGTCCAGAGCACGAGGGGAGCTTGGCAATCGGTGTGCGGCCTCTGGGGAGGCTCGGGCGAGCTCGAGTCCTCCGCCGACGCGGCGCAGAACTGGGAGATAACGTAAGAGAGAACGATCAGCGTCTTCAGGGTGAAGTTTCTCACCTTCCCTCAGCAAAATACTCCCCTACGCGTGATCCCTACGGTCCTCAGCGGGGTAACCCACCCGTGAGCGGGGCTTTTTTGGGGGGTGTAGGTTGGTGAGGCGTGTGGGAGCCCGAGCACCCAAGGTTTGTCTAAAGACACCCTCGGAGGAGGCTTCTGGTTTAGTTTGCATATGGATTCACACCTCGCCTCCCCCAAATTGTCATTCTGACCTTTGTGAAAGGCAAGAAAAATAATGATAACACAAACAGCAACAATAAAAATTACAAAAAGCTTCAGGGGAATTCAGCAGGTCTCCCAAAAACCTCAGCGTGAGCCTCCGCCTTCCTCCCTCCGCTCGGTATTTTTAAAGCCAGTATTTCTGCTCCTGGCTGGACTAATCACCAGGTGAGGCTGGGCACGCTGGGCCATAAAGTATTTGCTAACTACCCGGGGTAATCAGGGTGAAAGATTTCCACGCCCCAGATGCTTAATGAAAACCTGCCTGCAAACAGAAGAGGAATCAATAAACGCATCGGCTCGGCCCTCACCAGCAGCGACGTCCACGCCGCCTCTACGCGAGGAG